AGGTGAAGCATGGCGCGCGGAGTTCGGCGGGGGAGGATGAGCTGATGGTGGACGTTGGCCATGATGCGGCTGGCGATGATGGGCCATAGGGCGAAGGCAAGGAGGCCGGTAGGGTCAAAGAGGTTGCCGCGACCGGCGCGATCGGTGTGGGGTGGTGGGAGGTGGAGCGGCCCTTCGTGATTGAGGAGCCCGGCGGTTTTTGAGCTGGCGTGATGGCGAGCGAGCGGGCAGCACCGCGGCAGAGGTGGCGGGAGCGAGCGCGGAATCCTCTGGCGCGGAGGGGCGGAGGCGCCGGGGATTGTCACGTGGGGGGTGACAAAAAGCATAAAGTACTAGGCTATTTTTTGGTGTACGGGTTCTGTGGCAATGCGGGGGAGTAGGTAACCCCACATGGGGGTTATCGAAGTGGGTTTGATGGAAGTAATAATAGGGACAATCAGGGTATGAAAAAGGGTGGTTGTGGTGGTGGTAGCGCTGCCCCTTTTCCTATTGCCATGGGGTGGTGCTGCAACCTGTGCATGAAGGGATGCAATCGTGTGGTTAGTGTTGCGGCCCTGAAGGGCGCCGCTGGTTTCCGAAGCTCGTGGAGTCGCCACGCCCTGCGGCTTGGCTGTTGGAGGTCAGCCAGCCCTCTCCACCGATTTCGGTGGGCAGAAGCGGGGCGCTCGTTCCCTCAGATGCGCGGTGGGCCCAGAAGGATGGGGATCGTCCCCCGGGGCCTGCTGTATGCGGCGGGTGGTGGCGCAGCCAGTCGGTGGCTCGCTGGTCGCGGAGAGACCAGACAGTGGGCCAGAACGGTTACACGAATTCCCTGCATGCGTGCGCACAAATCCGCATGCGCGATGCCCGATCACGGGTCCATCGGTGTCACATCAAGACAAGACAACACAAGTGCACGTCCAGGCACATCGTCACCGTCCACCGTTCACCTAAATCAGCTCCGCATAATCCCCGATGCTTCTATCTCCCGGTCCGAATCCCATGCTAAAGTACTACAACTTCAACTGGCCATAACTTTGCCGTTTCTACACGGAATTGGACGTTTCAAGGCGCTATTGGCATCAAGAGCTCCTGAATAAGCTGATTTTAATGTATTTGCACTTTTTTGACCAACCGCCGCTTCAGAAATGTCAATTTTAGCCTAACCCCAAGTAAGCACGTCACAGTTAGTCTGAAGTGTAAGAGCTGCAAATTATGACTGAGCACCAGGCAGCGATTGGCCCTGCCTATTGTGGGAGTGTACGGGATGTGAGGAGTGCCGTACCACGAGCAGGAGGGCGAAAAAGGCACCGGGAGGTGGTGCCACACGCCCCGAGGGACGTGGGGGTGGGTGCGCGACAGCCCCCCTAGCTGTGAAGTGACTTGTTCTGTTTGTGAGTGTATTTTTGCAATCTGCCTGGGTGTTGATGGTTGTGTGCACCACTTTGGCGGTGTTGTTCATATCTTTTTGTTTGTGGCTGGAATGGTAAGCAGATCTGGGTGGGATCTGTAGACATCTGTTTTGTAATTTTGCAAATCTTGACCAGTACTTGTATTTTCGTGTCATTTCTGTTGTGAGCGGACTGTTGGTGAGAGAACTGGTCAGGAATACTGCTGAAGATGAATAACTGCATGTTTTGAGTATTCATATGTTTTTACGAATCGTTGCATGTGTTCATAGTAATCTGATGATCATTAACACTTGAAGTTTTTTACTATCATTGGCTGCAAAACGCAGCCTAAGTGAGGTGTATTTGAAATCTGTCTAGCAGCATTTCCATTGTCCTAGTAGGGAGAATTATACAAACAGTACTATTTAGTCATAAGTCGCTTTTATTCATTCCTGCCAGCTAACTCAGCCATTAAACAAAATGGCTAGGCAGCAGTATCAGGTGGGCAGTAATGTACCATATTCTACCATTGATATATCATGTGTTGGATCTTTGTAGCCATGCAACAAAGTACAAGTGTTTGCTACAATACAAACTCAAGGGTCACTACTATTTGTATTATTAATACTACCTACATTTGTGGTATTTTTCATGTAGGCCTGTAATACTCGCCAGAAATCACTGCGACACGGTGTTTTACGTTCATTGTTTTACATGTATGAATACCTCTCTTTTGGAACTTCCCAGTCGGTCAGTTGGCATATTAGTCTGTGGACATAGCGTGTACCCGAACTAATTCTCCACCTGCTGTGCACTCGGTTTCCGACAGGGAGCTCCCTGCGCTGCACTGTTGTGATGTGTAATTTACTGATGTGAAGTACAGTAGGGGTCCCTATATAGCGCCCCCCCCATGACATGGCCACAAGGGGGGCGCTATTGGGGGCCGGGGGCGCTATTGTGTTAACTTTGTTTACTGCATTTGATTGTAGTTTTAGTCAATATGGTTTTGTGTAATGACCAGCTGGCACTGTGGCGGGGCCCAGCGACAGCGTCAAGTGGCAGTGTGCCAACGCAGCAGCGTGGCAGCGTGGCAGTGTGGCAGCGTGGCAGCGTGGCAGCGTGGCAGCGTGGCAGTGTGGCAGCGTAGCAGGGTGGCCGCGTGGCGGTGCGGCGATGTGGCGGCGCAGCAGCGTGGCAGCACTGTTGTGATCATCGCGGGCGTGCGATGGCTGCACGACTGGTGTGCCCAGTCTGCCAAATCAGTGCTGGGGTCAGTGGCGCTCTGTTCGGGTCGCCAATTAATAGGGCTCATCAAAAAGTTAGTGCATTAATAATATTACTCAGTTGGCGACCCATGAGGTCTAGATACGATGCAGAGAGATGTCAACAGCCTCAGCACCTTCGCCACACTGATTATTATCAAATTGCAAGCTCAAGGCACTCAGAATACATGGAGATGATTTTGATGACAAAGATAGATGATGGCAACTGCATCATACGCCCTAAGAGTTCACTGAGATACTATAAAAATGCCGAACACAACGCCAATACGTGGCAGTGCATCACACGGAGACACATGAGTCAAACATGCCCCAAACATGCCTTAGAGTATTGAGGAGCACCCGGGTTGCCACTGGACACGTGTGTTTGTTTAGGAGCTGCCCGCCTGGCGGCTTGCCGTGGATCGTGGCGAGATGGAGCCAGGAGGGGTGCGTTGAGACACCACGTGCTTGTTTGATGGGAATATGTCCCGTGGGGCATAATGTGGTTGCCGACCACGGGAAGTGTCGGTGTTTGGTGAGAATGTGGCCCTTGGGGCACATGCAGTGGCTGATTGTGGGCAGTGGGGCGTCCTGGGTTGCGTTGTGGTGAAGCAGCAGGCGTGGCAGAAAGATTCCGGGTATGAAAAGAGCATCTTTTTGGAATGGTGGTATTTTTGCCAAAGGGGTGTGGACAGCGCGAAGGGGAACTCTGTATTGTTGCACTCAGCCTGGAACCTATAAGAACGGTTGCGTGGGGTGTGTGTGTCTCTCGCGTGGCGGTCTAGGCGCTCAGTCTGGCTGCCTAGCCCCCCTGACTGTACGCGCAAGGTTCGCCACGGCCTGAGCACAATAGCGCACGACCTTTTCAAAGGTTGCAGCCAGTCTGGGCCTTGTTTTCAAGGCGCTTCCTTGCCGTTCGAGACCAGCACCTCCAGCATGGTCTAGTTGCCGACCAGAACACATCGAGCTTCGTCTTTGTACAGTCTTGCCGAGGCAGAGAGAAATATTCCCCGTGTCATACACCAACGTGTTGTGGACAAGGCAGCCCTGACCCGTGGGACCTGACCTCTGTTTTGACTTCGTCGACCATTAAGAAGCAGTTGCGACCAGTTGGGGTACTCTGAACGGAACCTGCAAGAGTTTCTACAAACATACTTGCATGGTTGGCTAGCAGTGGGGGTGTTGGTACCCTTTTGAAGCTTCCCCTTGTTGTTGCCGCTATTTTGTTGGTCTTGTCGGCATGCCAAGCAGTTCTTTGTGAAGAGCCCGTTCGCGTGAGGGGCAAAGCTTGTTCGTTGAGTGCACTCTCAACTATTGTGGTGCTGAGGCTGTTGACATGGCTCAACTGCCTGTTTGAGGGTGAATTTATTGCGCTATCTCCAGGGACGACGGCCAAAATGGACCACCACTCTTTGCAATTTATAGATGCCTTGGCTGCAATATCCTTATGCATGCATGGTGCGGATCCTGCTCGTGTGGTAAGGATTTTCAATGGGGAGGCTGCTATGTGAGGCGCTACTGCCCAGCCTGTCGGCCAGTGCGAGCATCAAAGCGCCCGGTGCACAAATCGGCTGTGATGCCAAAGCAATTGATCAAGAGCTTTTTTGATGATGATGAGGGCGACTGCGATGATGGAAACCCCTGCGGCCCTGATTTCATGGAAAACGGAACTCCAAGCAACGATGAGGATTCAAGCAGGGATATGGAGATAGATTTGTATGATCATGATGAGAGAGAAAGAATGGAAGCTGCGGCATTGGGCACCCCTCCCTATCCCTACATTCTGCTGGCTGCAAGGAGCCAGGTGGGCAGTGCCCACTTCGCTGTGCATAGATGGAGATCCGCCATGGAACACACACCTCCCTTGGCCTCCTGGGGAGGCCCTGGGCCCGGGCCCCATAGTGGACGCACCGGACGTGCCGTCCGCCCGTCCGCTATATGCCAAGTTCGTTGAAACAGATGGCCACTGCGCCATCAGTCCACCAGACACCTCTCTTGGGTGTGTTTGGTTGTCCGCAATAGTAGCTTGAGGTCCCACTGTGCAGTGAAGCTGCATAAAGTACTACAAAAATGGTGACAAGCCAGAAAAGGGGGCGCTATTGGGGGCCGGGGGCGCTATTAGGGGGGCGCTATATAGGGACCCCTACTGTATTTGGCTCGTGGACAAAGCTCAGTTTCTGCTTGGAGCTTCATGCCCGACATAGCAGCCTCTTCGTGGGCCACCGCCTGATGGAAGGAACGACAGATAGGGGACCGCAAGCTGGCCATTCCTGGGGCGAACACCCACCGCTCCCCAACCCAGGTTCACGAGGCGCCGCGGTCAGGGATTCGACTGCACAGAGGTGCTTGACTCGTGATCCGCTGCACAATGAGCAGCCTCCAGGCGGTTGTTGTGCACTACGGCTCGCGCGCATTGCTGGTTGTAGGAATCCTCGTCCTTCGGAAGCTCAGCCTGGGAAGGGCGAGAAGGGCTCAACAGCGACCAGGACAAGGTGGGGAATGAGCCAACTGGGCGCAGTGATTGGGGGGTCGATGTCAAGGGCATCGTTTGCCCTCGCAATCACCACACCACCATCCGTATTGACCGGCATTCGTCGATTCGTGGGGAAGCGGCGAAGCGCCGTGCATTGTTCAGGTGGCGCGGATGGTCTAAGCGGACTAGCGCTGTTGTGAATGCCATTCTGGATGCCGTTTCTGACAGGCCCAGCGTCCTGTACACAGTAGCCTAAAATGGAACAGGAGGTGCTGTGGGATGTGATCTGACGCGATATGCGCATGGGACATACCACGCCATTTGCGCCGGCCAGTTGATCGAATTGACGGAGTAGAAGGCACACAGGACGCGTAGAAATCCGGCTATTTGCCAATGACTGCGCAACTAGTCGATTTCTTAAGGTTCAGTGGATGGAGCTTGGGCCATCTGTCCCTAAGACAACCAGTATTGAGTGGAAGCCAAATGCACATGATGCAGACTCGGCTGCCCAACAAAAGGATCAACCATTTGAACATCTGGAGAAACAAATGTGATTCAGCGAGGTTGCAGAGAACAAATACTGTGGTTTTAAGTTCGTGTACAGCTGGCTCCAAATAAGACCAATAAACTGTGCCACATCAAGATCTACTTGTCATAACTTTGATTTGAGCAGGACTCAAGGAAGCACCACAGCAGGCTGACAACACCGATATGTGCATTGCTATGTACTTGTGTGCTAGAGCATTCAACCAGAGCCAGTGATCAAGTTGGGTGTTAGTCTGGGCACATTTCACAGTCACACACAAAAATTTAATATCACAACTTCCAGAAATCAAAATTGACATTGCGTTTGGCATAACTTTGACAAGTGCATTGGATCAAGGGACCCCATTTATTGTTGGTTGTGCCTGGTTGCAGAAAGCCCAAGATTCAAAATAATCAAACCTGTGGAATACAGAGCAGACAATCCCAGGTGTGGTTGCTGATCAAACGGGCGCAGAGCGATTCGAATCTTGCTGATGTGTTTGTGGTAAGGTACCCCTTGCCCCAAGTGCTGGCAATCTTTTGAAAGGCGTTCACTTGGCTTGTGTGTTTGTCTTGTGAGGTGACATGAGGCCCACAATCTTCCACACAGAATGGCTTGGCAAGCTGTGCTGCAAATGTTTGGGGCCCACCCCCAGTTAATCCTGTTGTTGTTGATTATGCTATTGTCAATCTGGGTATATTTTTTGTTGTGTATGTGTTGTATTCTTGTTCTTGAAGCACCTCAACAGTTTTGGGTTGTTGTCTTCTTTCTATCTGTGTAGAGTAGTGGAATGACTCAAGATAACACAAGATAATGTGTTGTGCGAATGGGGTAGGGTTTGATCCCTGGGCACATTTTAATCTGTACCAAAATCTGTGTGCTATGTCAAAGATTATGCTAACAATTCGTGTGGGTGGTACACAGCTATCTTTCATCGTTTTGGCAGCAAGTGGCACTTGGGAAGCATGACAATGGACACGCAACTTGCCCACTTGTTGAACAGCACAAGGTCAGTGTGCATTCAGTAGCATCGACACCATCGATTGTTGCCTGACGTGTGGAGTTGCTAGATATTGCCTGAGCTGCTATGTTCGTTCCACTGGAACTGCATCTGAATTTGCATACACTATATGAAGCAATGTGTCATGTGTGTTTGTGGTCCAAGTGTGCATTCCCTTCCAGGCTTGGAAAGACCACACCTGAAGTGAATTTACTTGGTTTGGTCACAAAGCGATTGGGACTTGTTCACGGCCTGTGGCCTACAGCTTATGGGCAGTGATTGAACAACAAGTTGCAGTGCAGATCCCCCCTTGAATAAATGTATGTATCCTTAAGGGCAACATGAAAGCATGACACATTGGTGATGTCACGTGTTTCCACTGAAGTCAAGTATTCAGACAGTATCAGGTTTCTAGCAGCCTACACCTGGCTGCATATTGCTGAGCAAGAACACCCCAATCATCATGCCAACAGATACCCTCTTGAGAGCAGAGAGACTCACAAGAATGCAATACAATGGCAGGATTGCTTGTGAGTGGTGCTTCCAGCAAGTGAGATTTGTTTGCACGTGTTCGCTTCAGGCCAAGATTGATGCATTGGCGCCTAGCTTAACCAGTGAAGAGACAAGCTTAAAGGGGTTGTTTGCACTGGAAGATGGCACAACACACCTGAATCATGGCAGCTATGGAGCCGCTTTCAGGTAGGTGAACCTTTAGAGCAGAGCATGCCTCCTTATCCATGAGGCACAGCTCCCATGTGACGTGTCTCAATATCCATTGTTGCCCATCTTGCCACTTCTTGTTTTACTCTTTCTCTCTCTTTCTTGTCTCTGCACAGTGGGGTAGTCCACATGCCTGTTCTTGTTACCATGTGCACATTGCAGTCCGAGCATCGGTGAATTGCTGGAAGCCCTGGTTCTTTTGAGGCATTGAAACCACTCGTATTGTTAGTCCTGTGTGTCAGCTTCCTGGTTTGAAGTAGCCAAGTTCAATTTGAGTGCCAAGGGGAGTCAGTCCATATCGACAGTTGTTGAAGGAATACTTGAACAGATAGTCTGAGTGGAAATTTCCAACATATTGCACTCTGCAACAGGTTGATGCAATAGTCTGTGTTGTATGAACACAGCACAAAATTCCTGGAAGCATGAGAATATGTGTTGGATACCCTTTGCTGCCCTACTATCCCACTGTTTTTTCGCATGGATCATCAATTGCCGTCCTAATGACTTCACAGTACCTTTGGTGGCACCTGCAGAACAACATGCAGGCTATGAAGTTCTGTTGCACTGTATTTGCCATGATAGGAAAAAGTGCCCTTGCATGCAGAAGATGAAGTTGAGCACCATTATCATCGCTTGTCTTGTGAATTTTCTCGCCACTGGCCAGCAGATAGCAGTAATTTGCAGGCCTGGCCACACATATGTTTTTGTTGTTGCTACCACAGGCCCCAACCTATCTGCCCCGAGTTTCGCAGAGTCTGAACACAAGCATAAGCCACCCAATAGGAAATGAACTGTTAGTGCAATGAATGAACAATTGTTGAACAGATTTCTCTGGGGGTCACAGGGTTCATGTGCTCCCCTGGGCATGACATGACTGCTGTTATTTGCACACCAGACTGGTTCTGGATGTGCAGTCTTGGTACAGGGACAGGATGGAAGCAGAGCCAACAAGGTTCATGGAGACAGAATTTTTCCCAGGTGAGAGCCTCAGCTGGAGATGCACTCTCCCCCAGCTGCATGGTGCTTGTGCTTTGTGCCTAGGTGTGGTGGCTGCTGAGGCCATTTCCCCTAATGCACCAATTTGTTCTTGCCAGTTTGACACTGAAGCCCATAAAATATTGTCTTTGTGTGCAATTGCGAAAATCCATGGCAAAATGTGACAAATCACTTCATTGTAACTGGCAGGGGTGCCAAGGTTCTTGCTTGTCAGGCAGTGCTTGTGACAACCAATTCCCATCTGCGACCTTGATTGGTCAATGACAAAAACTGGCAATATGATGATCATCACATTGCTAATCAAGTTCCTTTGTTGTTCGTGTTGGTTGCAGCATTGCATTCTGCTCTGGTGCAGCTATCAGATTTCATTGGAGTGCAACCACAGGATGTGGTTCCCATGCACAACGCCACCAGTGCTGTTGCCACTGTGGTGAACTCGTTGGTCGTGGGTCCAGGGGACCTTGTCCTCATGACAACAATGACCTACCCTGCGGTGGGCACCTGTACTCGCCCAGTGACTATGTGGTTGGACAGTGTTTGGCATTTTCTGTTGTGAAGTTGGCTGCCTGCTTGTGTGCAAATTTGATATTCATGCATATCATTCTTTCGTCATAAACTGAGTAAGACATTGGCACAATGGCTGGCATTGTTGTGCAGTATTGTTCTCATCATGCCTTCATGCATGCCACTTATTGTTTGTTGCTGTGTTTCACCACATTGTGTGACGCTCAGCAAACAATATCATGTAGTCACATGCTGGTGAATTTCAATTTGGTCTTACCATGACATCTCATTAGGCTGGCGTTTGGCCATCTTAAACCAAGGGAATGGTGGAAGAGACGTATACCCCACTGTTTGTATATTGTGCTGCCATTATGGACCAGATGTGGCAAGCACTCAACACAATGCAGAAAGTGCAGAACCCCTGGGCTGCCAGGCTCGAAACTGTGGCCGGGCAAAATCGGCTTAGCTGGTGTGCTTTGGCAGTTTGGGACAATGGTGTACAACAGTGACAGATAGGAACGGTTTTTCAATTTTGTCATTTCAGTTGGACAGGATTGAAGGCAATTCCTAGCTCACAATGGGCACTGTTTCAAGTCCATCATTCACTGACAGTCTGACAACAACATTGTTCATTCCTCATCAACTTGGTGAGATCGAAACTGGGCGCTGTTAAGTTTTTGGAGAGTTGGGACATGTGAGTATAACAGCAGGAGCAGCCTGAGTATTTCTCTTAGCTTCTTTGCAACTTCTGTATGAGGCAGACGATCAACATTGAAGGAGGCTGTGTGAATCACTTGTTGACGTGGCTTTGGAATGGCCATGCAGGTCAGGAGCACGCTGGCGCGTTTTGCAGCTCACAATGGGGCAAATCTCTTGGAGGTAGAACTGAACAAGGAAACGTTGTCAAGCCCGAATTCCATTCTCGAGGCATTCAAAGCCGCGCTTCAAGGTAGGAAATACAGAATGGGATATAGTTGAACTTAGTGTGTCACACATTGAACTTCATATTGTTGTGATTTGCTCTGTATTTGCAACACAAAGTAAAACTTGTGGGAACAGTTTTCATTCCTGGAGCATTTGACGATACCCAAACTGGCAGGTAGAAGTCATGGCTCTGGCTCAAGGGCACTGACCTCTGCAGATCAGTGCTCATTGTATTTCGAAAGCAGGGCTCGTCCTCTCCGTCCAAAGGAACCAATCTTCCATTTGCTTCCCTGGTATTCAAAGATGCAATGCTAAGCTTAAATCACTTGTATGTTTGAATGTCAGTTTAAGGCCCATAAGAGAACAGTAAAGCTGTGGTCTTTTTGGCACTTGGGCTTTTTGCAAGTGGCAGAGTAGAACATACATTATTGGATAATTGCAAGAATGGATTTATGCTGGTTGCGATGTTAAAGGTGCAAAGGCACTGTTTTGCCACTTTATGCCGATTGCAAATGAAAGTAATGACAACCGATCCTCATTTTCACTATGGCATGAGAGGGACGTCGTTACTGTGGACAGTGGATGAGGTAGCCAAGTGCTGATAAGTTCATGGCTGTTTTGTTCATGAAAACGGCACACCTGTCAATGCCCAATGGGCATAAGGGTAGCGATTGATAATGTTGTGATGAATTGAACCAGCTCAGTTTTACCTAAGCATGACATGAGCATGTTGCCTGCAGTGGGGCATGAATTGTTTTCCTGCTTGACCAGGCAGGCGCCGAGTGAGACTTGCGGTCTTGGACCATGTGTTGTCTTTCCCTCCAGTGGTGATGCCTCTGGATGGATTGGTCCCCATCTGCAAACAGGTATGTCAAATGCCCTGGACTTGGGGGGAGAACGAGCCTCCAAACAGACACATCCCTAATGCAGTTCAGTCCCTGTAAGAACTGCAGCGTGCTAAATTCTGCTTTTCACGAGGCACAAACTGTACTGCACAGCCCCAAGCACACAACATTGCCCAGTAGGGAATACTGTACATATTATGAGCTTGTGTACCCAATCTGAACAGCTCCCCTGCGGAGGAATGGGTATTGATGTTTCTGTTAACAATAGCACAGGTGTGGCATATGTTTGTTGTTTGGGAGTTTGGTGTGTCCCTCACATGTCCAAGATACACAACAAAACGAGGCTCTTGCACCTGTGGAGGCGGCGATGGGCACATCAGCAGCCAATCAGTGCTTGTTCGTGGTCCAACCCACCATCGATTAAGCCCTTGGCACTCAGGCAAAAGGCGGTCAACACAAAATAAGAGTTGCCTTGCATGTAGTCCAATTGGGCAGAAAAAGTGACTGTGTTCCACTGGAAAAAGAGTACGTTCTCAGTGCGAGCACTCCAGAAAAGGGGCGAAAGAAAAAGACAAGTTTGCTGGAATTGTTGCCCCCATTCAACTGCCTCTTTGAGAAGCGCATGCCAGCAAGGCATGCTCGCGATTATTAATGCACCAGTAATGCACCAACATGCAGAACCAAGCAACAATGGAGCCGAGAAGGGAAAGAAAGCAAACAGTGAAAAAATTATGAGAAAAGCGACACCCACGGTTTTACCCCACCCTGTGAATCCTCTTCGCCCTAACTAAACAGCCGGCCAGAAGGTGAATGCCCCTAGGAGCCAGGGCCCAAACCTTCCAGAAGATGGGGCTACCGCATTTAGATGTAGAATCAAGGTGGATGAATGCTGTTACTGTGTGGGCCGTGGGTTGCGTGGTGTGCTGAAATTCTTGTTGTAAATGCGATTGCCAATGCAGTTCACAGTCATGAACACACTGTGTTTTGTAGTTTGGTTGGATTCATCAATTGTTTTCTAGTTACGTTTCATTTTTGGCTCAAAGCGTTTGCAATATGCGACTCAACTGCAGCGGTTTACCATAGCTATGGCATGGTTGTTGATTTTTGGTCCCCACCACGTGTCGTTGGATATACCATTCATGGACTGCAGGCATGAAAATCCACAATGAAGCTCTCCATCACCATGCAGAAAACCACCGGGCTCGTGCCTATTAGGAAATGCAAATTGCTCTTCCCATGCATACGTGTTTGCTGAAAACTCTTTTTGTCCCTTACCATGCAATGGATAGCAAGAAATCAATACAGCACTAATATTGGACTTTTGCGCTAGGCATTCTTGAGATCATGCACATCAGGTGTATTTGTACTTCAGCGTGCATTTGTTCAGCACTGTAGGCTTTGTCAAGGGGCGCAGACAGCACCAATTGTATATTAGTTTTGGCGTGGAAGATCAAGCGCTTAACTACCACCACTACACAGGCAGTGGATTAATTTGCACCTTGACGTTTATGACGATTGTATAATGAACAATCTGCAAACCGACTCATGCCCGACATCTTCTTGCAGGTGCAGGGACTGTGTTTTGTTAGCAGTTTGGTAAAAATGATGCACACCAGTACATTGTACAAGTGTCATGAAATTCTCATTGGGAGTTCCATTGGCGTGCGGTGAACAGACGGAAACATGTAAAGAAAACCCTGATAGAGCATGAATTGTCACCACCTCGTTAATTCTAGGTCGGAACTGTGTAATATTATGTGAACATAAATCTGATATTGTAGGTGCATCGGACAAATGGGCGTTTCCATTGTAAGCTGCAGTACAATAGCTGCACTTGCGCTTTTGAATCATTGAAAACCTGTTACCTTAGATGTGGCCATTGTACACAAAAATGTTTTTATTCATGAATGGTCCCCTTTCCTTTCTCTGGCAGATACGCATGGTGTGAACGCCAGCAGTGCATAATTTTTCTCCAAGGCGTATCCATCTTGCGAAGGCACTTATGTCTGTGCGTTTCTGTGGGTCAGACACAAGTATTCACCTTCATCACCATGTAGGCACGCGGGAAAATGTCTGTGAATGGTGACGAGCTTAATTGGAGATTGCCATCAACAGCTTCAATAAAGAAACGGATGTGCTTTTGACCATCTGCACCTTGTTTTCTGGAATGTACTGCAACTGTGGGATTGAGGGTTATCAAACTGCGATGACATGGCCTGAGGCGATTCGTTGAGCTTGATAGTCAGTGACATGGGCAGGCAATGTCCCTTTTTGCATGATCTAATGTTGGCGGTGATAGCTGCTTACAAATCTGTGCCATTTTGATGCGTATTTCCTCAATGTATGCGCTGGTTGTTTCCCTCGATTTCCTGTTGATTTCTGCTCTGGTGGACGCCCAGGCAGGTGCAAAGGTGCTTGTTGACGGTGCCCACGGAATTGGGGCTTTGGCCCCAAATATCCCTCAGCTGTGTGTGGAGTTTTACACATCTAATCTTCACAAGGTGAGGGAGATTGCACTGATGCACATTATGCACAGGAGCACAGGCGCGGGAGTCTTGAGTTTTGCTGGCTGGCTGGAGCAAAAGTTTGTTTTGTTGTTGCACAGAAAGCAGCAGACGCCACAGCAGTTTGCCCCATGTTAGTCGACAGCTGAGAATGGAGAGCAACTTGCAATGGTGGCGTTGCATTCCCCAAATGTCCTGTATTTTTCCATCAATGCCTGTCACGGATCGATGGATGACAGTTAGCCATTGTTAGAATAGCATTGATTTTCCATGTGCTGATAATACAATGAATGATAGCTTCCGCCGCTGAGTACAGCTGAAGGGCATTTGCTGTGGATTGCAGTGGATGTGCACCCCCAAAGGTACAGCGTTTCTTTGGGTCGCGCCTGAGGAGCAGTCCCGAATACGGCCTCTCGTAACATCACATGGCTGTGGATTGGTGGGTATCATGGCGATTGACTGTCTATGCCGGCATATTTGCTACTGGAAAGTCAACAGCCAAAGTTTTTTCAACCCTTTGTCGGAAATTTCTGTTTTGCTTGGCATCTCAGGATCAAATTATGGAGCTACACAATTTTCTCAGGCCCATCTCGGTTTCACTGTTGGCCTCTTTGCGGTGATGCTTGTGGATTTGAAGGTTTCTTGCTTCTGTGAACTTGCACCAAGAATCAGATGTTGATATTGAATGTGAGTACAGTTACATGCTAGCATTTCTGCGTCTGCATGGCAAGTTTATGGACGAAATTGCTCATCATTCCAGGAAGATACTGTATACCGTGGCTTGCCACCAAGTTCAGAGCAATTTGTCGCTTGAATAGGACTGTTGCACGGGCGCAAAACCTCGTGTTCTGGCATCGATGGTAGTTATCTCAACTTGCAGCTGCGCTCTTGCTTCAGGGATTCCAACCGGAGTTTGCCTGGTCTGGTACGGATGATTGGACAGGCTGGCTGGCATTGCCGGCTGCCATTGCCATTTTCAATCAGCTCAAGCCCAACAGCATCAGGGAGCACAACAGGAGGTGTGCGCAGTGTGGCTGACATTACCTATCTGCTGCACTGAGTCGTTTTCTTGCCACTTCTGTTGATGGACGGTATTCTTGAACAAGCAACTGCACTCACACGCAGCAATGGGAAGCTAACAAGTCGGGCATTCAACACAGAGCCCCAAGGATTTGCTCTTGAATTTCATTGCACAGTCAGGCACTCAGTAAGTAGTCTCACGGCAAAAGAAAGTACTTATGGGAGCGTCGTCGTTGAAAAGTCCCATATCCTTGATATGGAATAGGATCTGGGGCTCCCCCGTGCCCTGGATATCGAATATGATGTGGGCGCCATCACGCGGATATGGACATCCAGGATGACGGCGCTTCATATACAGGATGTGGGTGCCCGCATCCTGGGACATGGCCATATCCTCTATGTATATCCAGGATATGCGGTTATGTTCTGACGGAAACAGTGTCTGGAGGCAATGTCCGTTGCAAAGCTGTCCAGCGACTTGTGTTCCTGTTTGTCATCATATCGTCGTTAGCAAACTACTGGCCGTGTGTCTTGTCTATTACCATCGCGCAGGACAGATTGGTGATAACTTCTGGCTATGACAACTGCGTTGCTTGCCTATGACATTTGCCCCACAATGGCTGATCATTTTCCATTCACGCCATCCCAAATAGATGCAGTGGGTTTCAGTGTTCCACTTTGCACCTGATGTCGCATTGTTAGCCGACTGCCCCAAATGCAGAGTATATGCATTGCTTCTTTTCTTCGCTGAGGTTCTAAAGCACATGCAACTGTGCATTTAAATCCAATCCTGTGCTCCATAGGCTTGTGAGCTCAGCCGCGAAACTTTTGCTTGAGCGTTGGGGTACGAGTCGCCTTTATGGCGTCAATTCTGTGGGATATAGTGCTGGAATGGTGGCTGTGGAATTGCCGGAGAGCCCAGGAGTTGCCAGTTGCAGGGAAGGGGCGGAACAACTGCACAGAACCTTGCGAAGCCGCTTCAAAATTGAGGTGTGTAGGCTTATGTTCTTGTGGAAACACAGAAAAGTGGAACCCTCTGCGTTTTTGGTGACTGTGTGGGCGGCGAATTACAGTTGAAGGTTTTCTTAGCGAAATGGGGAATGGCAGGCTTGAGTCAGACCTGTTCGATGCTGTGCACAAATGTTCGGGATTCGTTTATGGTATGTCTTTTGGCTGCCTGTTCCCTGCGCCGGGAGAGCGTGTTGCACTGATGGGACGGACCCCCATACTGGCATAATGCCACACGCATAGTGTCCTACAACAATAGAAAGGCATAAAAGGCTGCATTTGCTTGAACAGGGAGCTAGAAAATTAAATATAGGTTGTTTGCATCACATCCCCGCCCGCCTCCCAAGCCCCCCACCCCACTCTACACCCCCACCCTCACCACCCACCCACAGTGTCAATTTGACGACGGGCATACCAAAATCGATATGGCATGTTCCCTTACGTTCTGCCAAAGAATGGAAAAGTGCCTGCCATGGCCCATGCCGCAATCCACCTCAAGCACATGCGGGACGTGGACACATGGCAACCTGACGCTCGTGTATGGCTGAGGATACCAAATTGTTCAATGGCATGGTTGCCCCAGTGGAGGCAGCGGGTGAGGGCGCCATGGCTTGGACGGACGCAAAAACTGACTCATAGCACTTGCATGCCACTGAAGCTTTGCTTGTGGAAGAATTTACCATGTTCTGGGGTCTACTTTTAGTCCAAAATGCATATACAATTTGCTACATGTGTTTGTTTTATTGATATTAGTTGTAGCCATATTTCAACAATCCTGCCTGCCTACAGTTGATTACATGTGTATCAACACCATTGCACAATTGCCACGGCACATTGCTTCCGTTGCTGATAAGGATAGTATCTCGACACAAGGCCACTGTTGCATCTTCTTAGCCCGTTGCATGCAAGCATCGCCCGTTTCTTGAACAGTCGTATGCCATGGCCTTTCTTGGCAGTGTTTGTGATGCTGAGTGTTGAAATCAATGAACAACGCCAGCTTTTGGTGGTGGCGATGCAGGTTCCGACATTTTGGTGGGAAGGAGTCATGTGGGTGCGCATTTCTTCTCATTTGTACAACACCATTGATGACTACGAGGCGCTCGCAAAGGCAGTTTTGGAACTGCGCAGTGCTGATTGTGTGTGAATGAAAGCAATTTACTAGAAATGTGGATATGAGACACGCGCATCTTTGTTGTCTACGGTCATTTGTTTGCATTCATTGGGATGGGCGGGTGGGAACGCGGAATTTAAACTGTGGAAATATCTTTTGGCTGGCGGAGAGAGAGAACACATGCTATACTTGGGGTAGGCTTTATTGGTGGTTTTCTTGGTGTGGAGCAGAATTTCCAGGTAGCCGCTGAATTTTTGTTTGCCGATAGCACCTCGGAAAGCAACTGTGGCTACTCTCAGGAGTTAGGAGGCTTGCCATGTACTTGCATGTGTAGCTGCTTCAAGTCTCGTGAGTGGGGTGCTGCATGAGCTCGTGGAATAAAAGAGGCCTTTGGTGCAATCTGATGGGCGCCGTTGTTTGGGGAACAAAGCTATTGTCATGGATCGCAGGCTTTGCGCGAATGGCTGGCTTGCGTGCTGTGCACGAGCGCATCGACTTGTTTGCCATGAGACAGAGTTTTGTTGCATGATCAGTTGGAACCCAATCAAATCCCTGATGGAGGTGGCCATATACGGATGCCGTATTTTCTGTTATGTCCGCTTTGTGCTAGAACCACAAGCACCTGTTCGTTAGTTTCCCTACTCTCACCCCACACCGCCCCACCCACCCCAACCCCACCCATCTCCCACCCCACACAATGGTCGCTGTTGTCCATGGCAAGTCAGCGTTGATGTTGCTTGCCCGCTTTCTGCACAGCCATTTCTCCATCAAAATGTGGAAAAACAGGGAAAGACATTTGTGTTCGCTACCCCAAATTTCTTACTAATTTCCAACTTTCAATTGAGCTCGCTCTCCCTCGGAGCTGTTGAAACTTTTTATCTGAATAACGCCTGTTTACCTAACATTGCCGAACACTTCATTGCTCGAAAACACCCAAAGGCGCGCAGGTACATCAGCAGTGACGTGTGAAATGATACTTCACCTGTAAGAAGGACACCACCAGATGTGAACAGCTCAATGAATGCAGCAAATGGATGCAGTATGTCCTTACCACAGCCTCCTTCTTATCTTCACCTTCACAGCTGTGGTATGTACAGTGCAAATTTGCAATAAAATGGTTGCTATCAGTCATGTGGAATGATTTACATGCTGGACATATCAGATTGCAGGAGTTGCATGGGTTTCGGGCATACCTGCGGAGCCCCATGGCGTTCCGAGTCGGGTTTCTTAGACCCTGGGCAACCTAGTGCTTGACAGATGTATTTCCACAAAGACAACGTGCCCACGATGGAGATTTCCAAACTAGCTACAGCTTGATTAACGCTAAGCAACAGCGTTTCGAGCCACATCTTCTTTTATTATCTACTAGGGCAGACGCCACTGAGTAGAGCTCGATCAACAAATGTGTTGTGCTGTTTCTGGCATGAACGGCCTGGGGCTGGAATGTCGTCATCTGCGCGCCGTTTCTGTGGTGGCCTGACGCCACCGTGTCATTTGTCCTGAAACACTTAATCCGCTATTTAGAGAGAATCAAAAGCTATGGCAACTGAAACGAGCGTGGCGTTATGCCGCTGATTTGGGCCGTCTGGAGTCGAGACGCGCGTGGCAAGTCCGTCAAAGCCCACCCCAAGCAACACGTTCAGAGTCCAACCGGCACCGTATCGTGTCCTTATTCCCCATCCACGGACATACACACTAACTCTATTCTCCCCTCCCCCCTTTCCCTAGGAAGGTGTGCCCTTTGTATGACCTGTTTCTCTTTTCTCTTTTGTAACAAATCTTAACCCCCTTGCCGCTCTAGTTCTCCATTTTTCATTTTTGCTCTCGTTTGGAACAGCAACTCTCTCCATGGCTCCGACTCATCAACAAGAATTGCCACAGCCTGTCTGGCCGCCAGCCAGCACCAGTCCCCCAGACGACCTGCACCCCTCGCCTCGCTGCCCGACTACCTCGCAAATCGACCACTCTGCCCAAGACACCCTTCCGCGGCAGCCCTACAGCAAGGATGGCCACGCGACCCCGTTGGGGAGACGACGAAGATGAGGACGTCGCCGACATCCTGCCAAACAAGGAGGAGAGGGGGCCCGACGAGAACGGCATCAAAACAACTGTGGAGTATTTCAGAAACGACAAAGGGGAGGCAATAAAGCGGACGACAAAGGTCAAGGTGGTGGCGGTGCAGCAGAAGGCGTACACGGTGCGCGGGCTGTCGAGCTGTGGCCGCCTGATTGGGTGCTGGCTCCATTCTGCTGTGGCGTGAGCCCGGCGGCTCAGCTCAGACTGTGTGTGAACGGCCAGAAAACTGCCGTGCCTGCAAGCCTCTGGCGACAGGGATCAGAGCCCAAAACAAGGAAAAACATGTCCTGCCGCGAATTGCTGGGATTCTGCAAAGTTTGGGATCCCTGAGGGATCCGCAGAATCGCTGGAGCGTTGTTGGAAACTGGCGGAAAGGAATACTATAATCAGCTTATTCTTTTGTTCAGCAGATTATCCACTGCAAGGATCTGTCACCTACCGGCAAAAGAAACGAGTCCATGCATTTCAAGAAAGGGCAGTCACTTGCCAAGACCACTGTCCAAATTATTAAAATCTCTGTGGGCCCTCAGGAGGCAGGAGAATATTGTTCTCAGCTGTGTATTGGCCGGTGAGGCTGGCAGTGTGCCATAGGCACAGCAAATGCATCAGCCAAACACAGCCGCCTGCATTTGGGAGCTGGGCTGTATGGTTGTAAGATGGTGCCATAGTTGCCAACTGTTGCATGAGACGCACGGAAATTCCAAGTCACCTCTGTGATGTCACTCCCATTCCGAACAAAGAATCTCTTCAACATAAGGAAAGCGGGTCATACAGACAGCCCTGTCTTGAGTGTGAATTTGGTGAGATGGCCACTCACACATCTTCACTGCACTTGCAGATTTCTGATGAGCGCAGAAAATGGAAAAAATTCGGAGCAGCTGCAAGCGGCAATGAAGGTATCACTAACAAAGCCCTGGAGGAGTTCCCATTTGAGTCAACAAGGAAGCAAAAGCAGTCGCTGCAGGAGAAGAAGGTGACAGACCTCAAAGATGCCCTCAAGGGTGCAGATAACCAGACGATTGTGGGAAGGTGGGTGGCAGGAGAGACTTCAGGGCTGTCATATCTTTGTCAACCTTGCCATTGAACAATTTTACCCAAATGGAATATCATCTGCCCATGAAATGCACAGTCGATGCAACCAGCCACCCTGATGGCTAATGTTCCTGGGGTTTGGATACATCAATAAGCCACTGAAGTATCCGAATGGGGTGTCCAACTACCAGTGGTGCTGATCCTGCAATAAGATATCGAAGTGCACAAAAGCTTGCAAGATGAAGCAAACAGTTTTCAGGGTTCCAAGTGCACAGGCTCCTTCAAGATTGTATATTGGGTTAACGCTCCACAAGCTGTGAGGAAGATGTGAGTGCACAGCGGCAAAACACAGTAGTCATATCATGTCGCCACTGAGTAGCAATCCTTTGACGGCATCAGATGGTCTACAGTGCCCTCACACCACGGTTGTAGAAATTCAAAGCACCACTGCATCAATATAGACAACAGAGTGCTCCGGCCGACACACAAGAAGAAAATGCAGAGAGAAATGAAAGGAGAAATAATCATTGAACAACTGCTCTTTGAGTTCTTTGAAATAGTTGTGCTTTGTCTCATGTATTTCAAAGCCACTGCAAGGGCAACGTCTCGGGGGTGGGGTAAGGGATTGTTGTGAGTCAGATTGCATAGAATGTGCACAGACAAGGGGCCTTTGTCCATCTTTTGCTTGCAAGTCATCAAGTTTGTCCATAATCCCAAATTCGCACCTGAGGGGACCAGTACTGTCCCACCTGAACAATAGGAACAAAAGCAAGAGAGTACTCCACTGCTGATGCCAAAACTCACACACCTTGCATCGCTGTTATCCATCTGAAACATACAGATGTCACACATCACCTGATCGGATTTCCCTTGGTGTGTGTGTGTGCGTTTGGCTTGTGCCTACAGTTTGAAGGACATGCTCTACAAGAGGAGGATGGAAAGGGAGCTCAGGAGGGCCAAAGGCCTTCTGGAGGACCCAGAACTGCCCCCATCAGAGGTACACTTTTGACTGGATGGAGCTTGATTGTGGTGTACTCTCCTATTGCTTGAAAATTGTCAGACTTAGTAGAGAGCTGCACTGTCACCTATAGGCTAATGGCAGGCTCTGCAGGCAACACAAAATGCATTCTCAACTGACATTTTGCTCCGGTTTCCTGTGAATTCCCTGAACTAGAACTGTTGTAAGGTTGGCTGCAGCTGAAGCTCGTTCTTCTTGGATTGGTTGTTCATGCATTATGGATCTTAACAATAGCCCTCCTCGCATATCTCCCATGGACTGAATTGGTATCCTGTATGGCACACTGCTGTTCTGCACAAAACTCCGTCAAAGGCTCAATGCTCTCAAGAGTAGTCCATATCAGTGAGCAACCTTCTGCATCTTTCAATAGACTGTGGTACCTAGTTGTCCTGTGTGCACGTTTCTGACAACAGTGTGCCAGTCAAGCTGTTCAGTAGTCTCCGAATACCATACCCTCCAGCAAGTGCATCAGTTGACTAGCTTGGATTGGCTCAATGCTGAGTAATGAACTGTTCATGCCTGCAACACATGGAGCTCAGGCAGCGCCCATGTGCATGCCGTGCCATGCCAGTCCATCATTCCCTGTCCGATTACTCTATCTTCTCAAGATGATGCTGTTCTCAAAATTTGTCCTGTTTTGATTGTTTCTGGTGTGCCCCAGACTGACACCACGTTCTGTTCCCGACAGGATGACCCTTCTGGGGCACCAAGTTTGAAACCTGGTTCCTATGTTCCCCCCAACCAACGTGGTAACCGTGTAGGGGCTGCACCCCCAGAAGCACCCCGGCGGTACAACGACAACTCTGTGCGAGTTACCAACCTGGCGGAAGAAGTTACTGAGGGCGATCTTCATGTACGCAACCAATTCCTGTACTACGTTGCCAGCATTTTGTTGTTGTTGCGGTGCTTTATCTTTAAGCAGCTTGCTGCTGGAATTGTTGCCTTCCATTGCCCTTGTTCAGTGTGATGTGTCTCTTGTTTATGGGCAACAACAGGTGCCGCATGCACATCAGATACAGCGTTTTGACTCTTACTCTCCTTGTTGGTATGGTTGCAGGAGTTGTTTGCTCCGTTTGGGGCAATCTCTCGTGTTTTCCTTGCGCTTGACCGTGAAACTGGGAGGAGCCGTGGCTTTGCATTCATCAACTATGTCAGGAGGTATGTCAGACTTGCCCTTCCAGTGTACCTGACATCTTCAGTTTTGTGGATGACTACCAGAAATCAGCTATTGCTGTGGAGCAGTGAGCATCCACTTCGCGATTGGTAATCTGTGCTAGGACGACCAGTAAATTGGGCGGCTGCTGGAGGCCACGCTAATGCTGATTCTCTCCTGGCACATCGCTTGTCGCGTTGTGCCTAGTTACCCTGTATTGTCGTCATGCTTATTCAGGTTTTATGTGTGGTTACCAACTGCCTATTTTGTGTTCTCAGGGAAGATGGTGTTCGAGCTATCAAGGCATTGGATGGGCATGGATATGCCAACCTTATCCTGCACGTAGAGTGGGCCACACCCAGAGAGCCCAGGCGGTGATTGGTTGTCTTATGCAAACGCCAGGAGATGGTGGTGATGTTTTTGCAAGCTTAGTTGTGGCACTAAGGGTGTCGGTTGGCCAGGCAGAATTAGTGGCTGATGGAGGGCAGTGACTGCTCGGTGTGCTGGTGGCTGCTTCTGGGAGTGGTAAAGTTGAGCAAGGTGTGCCGTCTTGTGAGTGGATATGGCAGGATTGGTGTGTGTACAATCAGTTCTTCAATACTCCTATTGCGTGCTACCTCAACTTGAAAGTCCACGGCGCAGGTGCCACTGCGAGGAGAGCGAGCATCAAGTGCGCCTTGGGAAGGCTCATCTCTATGTCGGCAACCAAATGAGACTCCTTCCCCGAAAATGTCTTGTCAATGAATCAATGGCCAGACAGGCAGTGACGGTGTATCTGGTGGAAATACCTGGGTCTCCGGGCAGGACGCGTGCATAGCTCACTGGGGAACCTGGGTACTTTTTCTCTGTCAACCCAGGAACATGGGTATGTGAAAATACCGGATATTATCACCAGTGTATATCAGGCTCAGCGCTTGGCTGGGTGTTACCATGCATTGCGAAGAAGGCAGCATGCAGCAGGCGGTATGGTCGTGTTGGCTTGGCACCCTTGACCGACCCAATGACCTACCCTGCATACTTGACCTGCCAATGCAGCATTGGCGAGCTCGCTACTGTTCACAGTGTTGAAATACTTCACCAGTTGGATGTTTGCCAACAAGCGTGCTGCAAGCCATTCCTGGCACAGCTGAGTGTGAGACGCACATGAACAAGCACATCCGTGGTGCTGCGACTGCTTTTCCGAACCGCAACATACTACGCAAGCAGCTTTTGCCACTTGCACACTCCAGTGCGTCTCCAGAACCTCGCATCAGAGGCGGCACTTGATCACGTCGAGCGATGTGTGACGGAGTTTGGCCGATCATCGCCTGCAAGTGCAAGGGCCTTGGTGGTCAGGGTCTTCTGAACAATTCTAATCACATAGTTTCAGTCACGCTGGACATTAAATTGATGCTAGCTCAGACCTATCTCCATCAATGATCATGCCGACATTGCACCTCAATCAATGGTTGATTATACTAGGTTAGTTGCCATAGAAAATTGACGGGCAAGTGTCGATAACTTCTCCTCTAGTTGTCGCTGAGTACTTTTGTTCCTGCAATTG